TTCCCTTGCTACTGGGGACGCTTCGAGATTGCTATAGAGACAGAAACAGCGTGAGCACGTGGCTGGGGGTGGGCTGGAAGGCCGGGGAGCGAAAGGAACTTGAGGTACCACAGTGTCTTTCTCTTCCCCACTGCATGGCACAGACTTGGTGGCCGGGACAGTGACAGCTCAGGAAAGTGCTCACTGACCAGCACTCGCAGCCCTGGCGGGACAGGAGAGAAGAGCAGAGCCATGATGAGAAGCAGGGGTCAGAGACCGGCGTCCGCACGCTGGTCTTCGTTTCCACATGGCCTGGGTGGCGACTTGGTTGCTCTATCTCCACCTTTGCCAGCTGCAGTGTGGACACCTGTCCCTCCCCGCCCCACCGTGCCTGTCTGCAGCCCTGTATTTCCGGGGACCTGCTGGGCCTGTGTCCAATGCTGATGCATTCACTACGGAGAATGGAGGCGGCGGCCCAGAGGTGCTCAGAGACTAGAAGCAGAGGCCTGAGGTTGGTCTGCGTGAGGCCGAGCTGTCAGGTCCCGCCTGGTGCCGAGGGAGCCTGCGTGCCCTCCCAGGCGGGTGGGGTCAGCTGCCACCCGTGATGGTGGCCCACAGAGCCAGAGCGATGTGGTGCGGCTTCGGTCGGGGGGCCATCTAGGGTGCTCAGTCATCCCCCGGACTGGCTGAGTTAGGGCTCCAGAAGGAAAATAGAAAAGTCTGTCCCCACGACGGACAGATGGCCTCCTGCTCAGTATTAGCCGTGCCGCGGCCAGCAGGCGCTGGGATACGGTGGTGCTTCAGGCCAGGCGGAACTAGCAGCGATATGGTTGTGGCTTAAAAAGCAGGCGTACAATTTGGCCCATCTTTTTCCCAGGACATGATGAAAAGCTGTCCTTTGTGTCCACATTCCACAGCCTCCCACTCGACCTCCCGAGGAGCCGGTGCCCCTCCGCCGCACTTGGTAACCGGCGCACACGCGGACAGAGCCTCCTTTCATCGCCGTTGCTCCTCGGGAAGCGCTTTATTCTTTCCCGTGTCCCCGGGTTCAGAAGCTGGGCCCGTTCCAGGGCGTCCTGAATGCAGGGCCCCGGCTGGAGTCGGATTCCAAGGACGTCTGTGTCCTCAGCACTTCCTGTGGCAGCAGAAGTCGTAAAAATCATTACAAACGTCTCGAGTTGCAGCCTCAGCGGCATCGCGCGCCGCTCTGCCCCTCGCGTGTTCCGGAGGGAAGCGCTGAAGGCCTTTTTTCCCCTGCTTGTGAAATCGAAGCTCCTTCTGGGTAGCAGATTTATTTTACTCACTTGAAATTGAAGCAAGTTATTTAATATGTTGAAATGAGGCAGGACCGTTGGGAGTCAATGTTTGGGCTTTATTTCCGTACCCTTGCATTGAAGGACGTAACTTGGAAAATGACCGGTGTTAACAAGTCCCCTGAGTAAACTGGAAGATCTGCTCGCTTTAGCCAGGGTCCCTGAATCAGACAGCACCCCATCTGCTGCAGGGCTCGTCCTCGGAGGAGGGCGCCCGGGTCGTGGAGGACGTGCGCCTCTGGCCAGGCCCCTCCCTGGCCAGGCTGGGTTCTCAGCAGGCCTCACCTGCTCCCTGGACGGCTGGGGGTTCAGCTGCGATTAAGTGAGGTAACATCTTGGTTTTGTGTCTTGGACTTGTTACAGTGACTGCATTGAGGGCCCGTTGTCTCTGCACGAGTTGCATTTGTTGATGTTACATTCACGGGGAATATATATTTTAGGAAAGTGTCCACTTCCCCAAGTCCGGTAAACCAGCTTGTGAAACCAGAAGTCACGTCACTCAAGCCTTGTGAATATATTTTAAAAGTGTTTAAAACTGTGTCTGAGATTTAACAGATAAAACACTCCCCTCTCTTGTCACCGAGAGCCAAGGACCTTCCTGTGTTGGGAGTGTGTCCCAGCGGCTCATGGGCGCGGGGCTCAGGGCTCCCTGCGGTGACCCGGCCCCAGCTCCGGCTGCACAGCAGGGAGGCAGCTAAGCAGCAAAAGCAAGGATGGGGCCTCCCCGGTGGCGCAGCGGTTGAGCGCTGGGTTGCGAAGCTGCCCGTGGCGCAGCGGTTGAGCGCTGGGTTGCGAAGCTGCCCGCAGCCTCCGCGGCGCCGGTTCGATCCCCGGCTGCTCCCAGGCCACCGGAGGAGGGTTCCACATGGCGCGCAGACCTCTCCTGCCGCCCGCTGCTCCCCTCAGCAGTGTACTTCGGTCCTTCTGCCTGCTCTGCTCCCTGCTCTGGATCTGGTGAATTCTCTCACCCTCCCGCGCTTCTGACTGTACCCAGTGCATGTATAAACAAACAAACAAAATAAATAAATAAATTAAATAAATAAAGCATGCCTCTATTAAAAAAAAAAAAAAAAAAAAAAAAAAAAGCAAGGATGATTCCAGGGACTGCCGCCTTCTTGGGGGTGGCTGGGGTCTGGTCCTGTGATGGCCTCGGGATGCTGACCAGGAATCGGGGTGCACTGGGCTCATACTGTGGGGGAGGCTGAACCGCAGTGATGTGAGGGTCAGTCTCAATGGGGCCGACGTGAGGGCTCCGTCCAGGGACTGCTTTTGTTTTTCACAGCGGAACTGACGTTTCACCAGTTCTTGGCTCAGCTGCTCATGAGTTCCTGGGCTGCCCACCCACCTCGACGTGGACCCTTCCTGGGGGAGACGGCTCCCCAGGTAGCACTTAACAACCTGGCGGGCGTAGTCGGGTCCTTCTGCTGGGCGAGGCGGTGCCTCCTGTCCTCAGAACACCCTGAGTGTGCTGTGGGGCCTGCCCGCTGCCTGCCCGGCAGAGGCATCCAGACGGACCTGTGAGCCAGGACCCGCGCATGTCTGGGGAGCCTCGTGCCCGCTCTGTGCAGACTGCCAGCGTCCCCTCCCCCGGCTGCCAGCGCCCCGCCTTGGCCCGGTGCCCCCCTCGGCCCAGCACCCCCTCGGCCCGGCGCCCCGCCACCTGAGTATGTGCTGTTCCTCTGTCCTCCCTGCCTTCTCCCCAGACCACCGGGACTGGGCCGCGAAGACCCCGAGTGGCAGACCCTCTCTGCGCCAGGCCCCTGCCTGAGCGGCTCGTCTGCGTCCCCCCTCCGCCCCTCCCCAGATGTGGTGCAGCGGCTGCCTCAGGTTCCCAGGGGGCCCTGAGCCAGCAGCGCCCAGACACGGAGGGGACCAGCTCTGCCGCCCCTCTCAGCCCATGAGTGAAATCAGGAGCCTCAAAACACTGGTCCTTTGCCTCTCAAAAATCTAGAGCAGAAAATATTTGGAGAGTTCTTGTTGGATCCACCGAGCCTGGCCTCTCTACAGCTTGGGATTTGTGCTCTAAAACACTGTGATCCTTTCCTTACTGCTCTCCCCCGCACGCCTCGCTGGCGGTGTGGGTCCGCAGAGGGGCCTGGTACCTCGGAACCCGCCTGGGGCTGGGGCTGTGGCAGGCCCACGCTCTCTCCAGCGCGTCCTGCGGAGGTGTGGGCCGTCCAGCGCGCCGGCCAGAGGGGTGGCGGGTCTAGCGGAGCAGAGCAGCTGCAGGGCGGCGTGGTCTCCCCAGGGGAGGCACGCGGGTGTGGGAGCTCGGCAGGAGCAGTGCGGGGTCCAGCGCAGCAGCCCCCAAGAGAGGGGCGAGGGCCCTGGAGTTGGCTAAAGAACGCAACTGACTCGAGTTTTCAAAATCGTGCGGATCCTATGCCAGACGGAGCCCGTGTTCTCCTGTCGCCGCCGGCAGGGTGGAGGGGCCTGGGGGTGCGTCTGGCCTCCCCGCGGGCTCCTTCCCCTGGGTCACCTCCAGGCGCCGAAGCGCTGGTCATGCGGAATAGCCAGGCTGTCCCGCGCGGAGCTTGCTTGGGGCTGTGGATTTGGTGTGAGTGTAACTACTGGGGACGCACGCAGTTTAACCAGATGGCGACCTGGCCAGCGCTGTGGGACACTGTCCAGGCCCCGGCAGACAGACGCTCTGTGGGTGTATGAGTGAAGAAAATGCAGTCCGGGGGGCTGGCCGGGTCCAGCACCGTGTCAGGGAGGCCGCAGGCCTCTGGAGCCCCCAGCGCTGGGAGGCGCGCTTCCCAGCCTCCTGGGGACGGCGGGCGTGTGGGCGCCGGTGAGGCGGCAGGTGAGGCGGCAGGTCTGGCTGACAAGGGCTTGGCTTGCGCTGAGCCTGGGCAGCGGCTCCTCCAACCCCCCCTCCCTCCGTCGCTGCTGCCCAGGCTTCTCTGTGCTGAGACGCGAAGCCCACCCCCTCCCCACCTTGTGCTCCCCTCCGTGCCGCCGCCCTGTGTCCACATTCCCGATGCCACCGCCACGCCCGTCTCCCAGCCCTGGAGTCCAGACAGAAGTGCCTCCACACGATGCTGGTCTTTTTCTGGCTTATTCACGCAGCTTAAGAACTACCCGAGGGCTCATCCGTGTCGCGGAAGACAGATCGCCGCCCTCTCCCGGCCGCTGACTCCCGACACGCCGCACAGCCCACCCTCCCCGGCCGAGCCCCTCGGCCACCCTCCCCGCCATCGCGCGTCTGTCTGGTCTGGGTGGTGTCTAGCGAGCAGTGCGGGCTTCCGTGTCCTCATTTCAGAGAAATTCCCAGGCATGGACATGAGGCACCAGCCTCCCGGGAAGAGGCGCTGCTCTCCCCGTGGGCTCCAGCCAGTGCAGTTCCCGCGTGTGTGTGGCGTTGGCTGTGGGTGGGGGGCTCCTGCTGCGCTGGAGTTTGTTCCCACGGCTATGAACCGCGCGCGCGGCTCCCACCTTGAGGCCCTCAGAGTCCCCCGGGCACAGGGAGGACGCTGGACACAGGCTCCAGGCCCCTCACCTGCGTGGCCCTTGCCTGCCAGGCCCCTCACCTGTGCAGCCCCTCACCTGCGCAGGCCCTCACCTGCCAGGCCCCTCACCTGCACAGCCCCTCACTTGCACAGCCCCTTACCTGCGCAGCCCTCACCTACATGCCCCCTCTGGCCCCTCACCTGCGCGGCCCTCACCTGCATGGCCCCCCCAGCCCCTCACCTGCGCAGCCCTCACCTGCAGTCACAGTGGATGAGGCCCAGGCTCTTCAGCTCCGCCTGGTTTCGGCCTTAGGATGGCAAATCCTTAGGCCTGGGCAGCTTGCCCCCGGGTGGACAGGGGTCCTGGCCTTGCTCTGGCTCCGGCGTGGTGGGCGGCATGGGGGCTGCTCCAGTCACACAGGGACACGGGCCGGGAGCGGGGGCTGGGGACCCCGCAGGTGGCGGCCCCCAGCGCTGCCTGCCTGGTGGGAGATGGAAGCCGTCCCGCTGTCCTCAAAGGCGCAGGCTCGGCTGCCTCTGAAATGCATGAAAAAAGCAAGGCGCCACGTGAGGCTGGGCCCCGGGTCGTCTCTCAGACTGAGCCGGATGTCCGGGAGCCTGCAAGGGGCCAGGGGCTGTCGTGGTGGCCTCTGCGATGCCTGAGGACGTGGCCAGACCCACAATGCGCTTGAGTGCGAAAGGAGGAGCCAGGGTGCGGGCAGGAGGGGGGGAGCCCCAAGGCTCTTCCTGGCATGTGGGGGTCACTGCTGCCATGCCCTGGGGTTTCCTGGCAAGGTGGTGGGGCTGGACGGCAAGGCCGCCTCTGCAGAAGGGCCAACCCCCATCCAGGCAGGACTGAGCTGATGTGGGGGGCCCCGTGTTCTGCAACGAGACCCCGCCTCAGGGCCCCCACACTTCCAGCTGGCCCAGACGCCCCCTGGTACGCAGAGGAAGACGTCCTGTCCAGGCCGTACTAACTGGCTTCCCCCACGTCAGCGGGCCCTGTATCTGGAAGGCCCTCCGTGAGCGGCGCTCGCCTGGCAGGACCCCGGGGCCGCTTCCGGCCAGGGCGCCTCCCTGTGCCACTGGCCGCCTCGTCCACGCGAGGCCTGGTCTGTGGGCACCGCGCGCGCCTTTTCCCAGACGCCCTGTGCCCGCGTTCTGGGCTTGCTCACGGGCGACCCCGGCCCCCACAGTTGTCTGCTGAGAAGGGGCCGGCGCGGCCCCACCCCACACGCCTCCCTACATGCCCACCCCGTGCCCCCCAGGCGCTGCTTCCTTCTGAGGAGGGCTTGCTGCGCCCACGCGGCCCGCCACCCGGCTCCCCTCAGCTCCGCGGTCTGTTCTGTCTGAGGTTGTCCTCCTTTGGAGCCAGGAGCCTCGGGGCTCCTGTGGCGGTGGCTGGGCCCTACGACCCCTTGCAGAAGAGCAGCTCCTGTGGCATGAGCGGGGCCCCTTCCCCCTCCTTTGTTCTGTCTCCTCAGTCCCGCCAGGCCCTGGGGGTCAGTCTTCGTGGCCTGGGCCGGTGTTTCCTAAGCTCTGCAGACCCTGGAACGTGGATTCTGAACCCGAGCAAACAAGTGGGGAGCCGCAGCTGAGCCCTTTGCCGCGTGTGGCGATGGGGGTTGGGGTGTTTGCCGCGGGGCAGAGGAGGGGCCGGGCCGGGTCAGCAGTGGGATGGGGTCACTGACCGCTCCGTGCACAGGTCCGCGGAGAAGGCCGCGCACGCCAAGGACAGCTGGTCTCCAAACACCGGGCTGGCCCCCAGCGCCAGCTTCCAAGCGTCCCTAAGAGTCCAGTCGCTTGGGCGGGGGTGAGGCGGCGCGTGGGTCAGACCCGCAGACCACGTCCAAGGCTCCCGGCCTGACCGCCGGCATCTACCCGCCTGACCGGCCCACTCTGTCCTCAGCGCGGCGCCGGCCAGGGACCGAGCTGCCCAGACCCTCCGCAGGCCCTCCCAGCATGGCGGCTCCTGCCCCCCAGTCCCTCGGAGGAGGTGCTGGGAGCTCTGCGGGGGCTCGCAGGGCCCATCTACCCATGCGTAGGTGCCAGAGCAGGGGGGCGCCTCCTGCTGGCCACCCCGAGATTCTTAGTGCCCATTTCTGAGTCCCAGCGGAGCCTTGTGAGGAGGTACTGGCGCGGGAGACTTGGCGGGGAGCACCGCAGTGGGGGGGCGCTGACCTGTGTAGTCTGTGAAGCGGCCCCCGGGGTCTGCGCCTGGGGCCTGCAGGGAGGCCGTGGGCAGCATGGATGAGCCTGGAGGCTGGGCCCAGCGGTGGGACCTCCCTCCACGCAGCCTCCTGCCTGGGGCTGGCTTGCGCCCCCATCTTACACGGCGTCCCTTGTCTTCTCAGGAGCACCTGAAGGCCCTCGATGACCAAGTCAATGCTTTTTTGGACAATATGTTTGGGCCTCGAGGTAAGTGAGGACTTACTGTGGGGGCCCAGGTGGGTCATGGGAGATGGGCCTCCGCCTCCCCTGGACACCCTCCCCGGAGCGTCCCCTCCCCAGACCACTTGCCCTGGCGGCTGAGCTCCTCCCGCCCACCCCGACCTCCCTCCCCCGCCAGCTCGCCAGCTTCCGCCTGCCGCCTGCTCTGTCCCGGGCCTGCACCCCTTCGCAGGCCTGTGCTCGTCCTCCACCCAGGCCTCAGGTTGGCCTGCCCGCCCCTCAGGCCTCCCCTCCGCCACCCCCAGCGACTCGCGTCAGTCGGCACTTCTCCTTCCCTCACCCCTCGGCCACACCTGCACACCGCACCCCCCCAGGCATCTCTCCCTCGGTCACTGGTTCCCCGCTGTGACTCACTGACCCCTCATCACTTTGCACGTGTCAGCTGGACCCGCGTTAACCTGAGTCCCGCTGTGTGGCGGCACACCGTGTGCAGCCTCGGAGCCACTGCGGAGCGGGCTGTTCTCCCGCCCTGCGGCCTCCGGGGCGGCCGCCGCCTCCCCGCAGTGATGCTTCCTTGTACCTCGACCTTGGGCGACACTCTCCCCCCACCTCCGCCCCCGGCTCTTGCGGGGTGGGGGCTCCCTTCGGAGCTGTTCTGCCCTGTCCCCCCATCCCGTGGTCTCGTCTGGACTTGCTTGTTATCTCTGACTCGGGGCGCAGAAATGGGTGCCGGGAGGAGCAGGCCATTCTGGTCTGAATTACCTGGCTTCACGGGCGCCTGCTCCCTCACAGAGCCGCAGACCCACAGGTGACTCCTCAGCACCCCGGGAGGGGAGAGGCGGTTGTCCTAGTTCGCAGGTCTGTAGCAGAGACATTTATTTATTGTATTTTTTATTGTGTTAATAACACTGTGTCACTCAGAGATACAGGATCATACACCTCAGCAGGGACACACGCCGAACCCACCAGCGCCGCACACGATCCTCCTCCACAGAGCTTGGGCGCCTCCCACCCGGGAGCCTCAGTTCTGTAGCCAGATTTCTAGAGTTTGCTTTGGTTTAGTTTTGTCCATTCCTTTGCTTTATTTCTTCATGGTCCATCTGTGAGTGACATCATTCAGTATTTGTCATCTCCCGTCTAACTTCAGATGGCAAGAGTTCATCTTTTTGATAGCCGAGTAGTATTCCACTAATTTCCTAAGCCACTCATCTGTCTTTGGGTACTTAGGTGGTTTCCATGACAGGGCTTTTGTGAGAAGGGTGCAGTGAACATAGGAGTGCAGACACCCCTTCACAGTAGTGATTTCGCATCCTTTAGGTAGATTCCTAGGAGTGCAAGTCCTGGGTCATAGGGTAGATCTAGTTTTTATAGCTTGAGAAACCTCCACACTGCTTTCCACAGGGGCTGAGTCCGCCTACATTCCCACCCGCTGTGTAGGAGGTTTCTTTTTTTTCCACATCCTCACCAACACTTGTTTCTGGTCTTTTTGATGTAAATTTTGTGCGTGGTGTGAGATAGTAGTCTAGTTTCATTCTTCTGCCTACAGCTGTCAGTTTTCCCAGCACCATTTCTTGAGGCTTTCCTTGCTCCGGGGAATGTTCTTGGCTCCTCTGTAGGAGATTAACCATCCATATAGGTTTGGGTTTACTTGTGGGCTCGCAGTTCTGCCCATACTGTTTTTATTACTGTATCTTATAGTATATTCTGAAGTCTAGGCATGTGATACCAACATTGTTCCTCCTTTGTGTCAGGATTGCCTTGGCTACTTGGGTTCCTTGTGGTTCCATATGAATTTCAGGTGCCATTGAAACTTTGGGAGGGATTGCAGTGAATCTGTATATTGCCTTGAGTCCATTTTATCAGTTAATTCTCCCAATCCACAAGCAGAGAGTATCTTTCCATTTGTGTTTTCTTTTACTTCTTTTCACAATGCCTTACAGTTTCTATTGTACTGTTGCTTCACCTCCTTTGTTTACTCCTTGGCATTTAATTCTTCTTGATGGGGGAGGGAAGGGGATTGTTTTCCTGATTCTTCCAGTTCATTGTTTTCATATAGGAAAACAACTTTTTTTGTAAAGATTCATTTATTTATGCATACAAGACCTGGGGTGCAGGCCAGAGATGTGGGGGTGAGAGGACGCCCCCGAGACAGAGTAGGGAGCAGAACAGGCGGATCCACTGAGATCCACTGCTGGGGGGGAGCCACGGGTGAGTCAGGAGAGGTCTGCTGTGCCATGTGGGTAGCCCCCTGGCCGAGGATTGAACTCATGCCACTGTGGCTGGTGACAGCTTGATAACTCTGAGACTTTGATCTCTGTGCCACTAGGGAGGCCCGGAAAGCAACTTATTTTTGTAAATTGATTTTATAGCCTGCCACCTTAACGACTGACTGTTTCTAATAGTTTTTTAGTGGAATCTTTCATGTCATCTTCAAGTAGTGATAGTTTCACTCCTTCTTTTCTGGTTTGGATTCCTTCGATGTCTTTCTCTTGCCTGGCTGCTCCGGCTGGGCCTCCAGCACTGTGCCAGCAGCAGTGGCGAGAGTGGATGTCTGGTCTTCTTCGGGATCTGAGTGGGAAGGCTTGGAGTCTTTCCCTGTTGAGAATGGTGCTGACTGTGGGTCCGTTGTCTGTGGCCTCTATCATGTGGAGGGACGGTCCCTCTGCACCCATTTTATGGACAGTTTTATTATGTTGAAACTTATCAGATCCTTCTCTGCACCTCTTGATGTGATCGTGTGATTTTTATCTTTCCTTTTGATGTGAATTACACTGACTGGTCTTTCAGTTGTTGAACATTCCTGTGTCCCCAGAATAAGCCCACTTGGTCATGCGTGTGAGCCTTTGAATGCATGTTGGGTCCATCTGCTAAGTGTGGTTGAGGATTTTCTCATCTGTGCTCAGCAGGAATGTTGGTCTGTAACGTACTTTTTTGTGATGTCTGTGTCGGGTTCTGCTAGTGGGCCAATGCCTGGCCTCCCAGAATGTATCTGGAAGCATTCCCTCCTCAATTTTTGGCGAGAGATTGAGAAAGATAAGTATCTGTTCATTTATTTAAGGCTTCACAGGACTCACTGGCGAGGCCACGTGGTCCTGAGCTTCCTTGTTGTGGCTCGTTCGTCCGTGTGCAGGTTTCCTGTGTGTTCCTGGTCCGTTGTGGGGGGCGCTGCGCCTCTGAGATGTGTCCGTTTCAGCTTTGGTTTCATTTACCTTCTGTATCATCTGGTTAATTGCCGTTTCCTTTACTTCTGCTCTCATTTTCCTTGTTTCCTTCCTTCCACGGGCTCGCGGCCTCGCCTGTTCGCCTTGTTGCGGCTCCTCAAGGGGGGAGGTTAGCTGAGCTCCTGGTTCTTGATGTGGGTGGGGTTGCTCTGCACCCCCAGGACGGCTTGTGCTGTGCCATCGGGTCTGGTAGGCTGTGTCCTCCCTTGCGTTCGTCTTCAGGTACTTTTCAGGTCTTCCGTGGCTCCTCGCCGGCCAGCAGCCATCCGCCGGCGTGTTGCTCGGTCTCCATGTGCGGGAGGTTTCCCGCTCTCTGTGCTGCTCTCCTGGTGTGAGCCCGCTGTGGCTGAGGAGACGCGGGGCGTGACTGCAGTCTCCACGACGTGGCCAGCATGTGGGCCGTCCGGGGGGCGCACGTCCGCTTTCAGGGCATGCACTGCTCTGGGATGTCGGTCAGTCAGTGCGCCTGGTTCCTCGCTCAAGGCCGTTCCTGGCTTACTTTCTGTCGGGCTGAGCTGCGCGCAGGCGAGCACGGGCTCTTGAAGTCCCGGCCCGGGTGTTTCCCAGCGTGTTTTCAGACTGGGTAGCAATCGCCTCGTGTGTGCTGACGCGCCTCCCTTTGGTGATGGTCCGCTGGCGAGCGCTGTGTGTCCCTGAAGGGTGGCCCTTCTCAGAGCGGCTGTTGCGCTCTCCTTACCTTCTCAGCGGGAAGTCCACTGGCTCTGATGTCAGAAGGGCCCTTCCTGCCTCTCTTGGGGCCCGGGCTGCCTGCCTTCACCCCCGGCCCATGTCATCTCAGCAGCTCAGGCGCGTTCCCTGGAGGCGCAGAAAGTTGGGTTTTGTTTTCTGATCTAAAGGGGCTTTGGTCGCGGAGGTCAGTGCACTCACCTCTGGGTGACCGTGGGCGGGTGGGGTCTGCTCCTGCCGCTCCGCCTTGTGTCCTGCGCAGCTCTCCGTGGAACTCCTCTTGGTTGATACGCGCTCCGCCCGCACCGCTCAGAAGGGGGTCTGGTGCAGCTGCGTCCTAGGCCCTTGCATCCCCGCAAATCTGAAGAGGGGTGTGTGTGCGCAGGGCAGGGTGATCCTGGCTGGCAGCTGGCATTGTCAGTGTCGTCCCCCTCCTTGCTTGGAGGACTCGTGTTGCTGTCCAGCCCCCTGCGGCTTACACGGCCCACGAGTGATTCTGAGGAACCAGCGCACGGTGGACACTGTTGCTCTGCCAGGCCTTGTGAATCTCCGGATTTCATTCTGTTCTCCCGCTGTGTCTTGGGACGACCCTGCTGTGGGACAGGGATCCGCTCGCCCCGCCTGCGGCCGGGGCAGGGCGAGGGCCAAGGTGGTGGTGGCGTCCCGTCTGCCCTGAGCCCTGGTGGCGCCTCTGCCTCAGCCCCCTGCAGCGGGTCTGGGCGGCGGGTCCAGGGGATGCGCTGGAGCGGGCGAGGCCATGTGGCGAGGTGGCGCTGAGAGCGACAGGCTGCCGTGAGTCCCCTTCCCTCAAGTCCTCGGCTACGTGGCCCAGGCAGCCTGCTGGTCCCCATCGTGCCTGCCCCTGTCGCCTCACCAAGGCCTGGTTTGGGGGCAACTGCCAGAGCCACGGTGGAGAGCGCACCCCTGGATGCAGAGGTCACCAGGGTCACTGAGGCCGCGTGGCCCCACTTTTGTCGGGCAGTTGTGATGCCCTTTATCACCCGTGGGGAACAGCCACAGGACGTGGCGCAGACGCGGAGTCGTGAGGGCCGTGCCGTGTGCCAGCTGCTGTGCGCCGCGACCCCACGCCCTGCCCTGCAGAGGCGGGTGTGGAGACAGGAGGGGCGAGGCCTCCCCCCCCCCCCCCCCGACCCCTCAGCGCGCTCCTGCCAGGCCTCTGCTGCCCCGGGCCTCTCCCCATTCTGGGGCCTGGGCCCCCGCTCCAGTGCCCCTGTGCCCTGAGCTCCAGCCCCCCGCCTGACTCTGCCCCGTCCTTGCGCTGTGCCCTGCTCCCTCCCCGGGAGGACTCCTGTTCCTGGGGCCCTGTTCCCAGCACAGGCGCTGGGTGGGACGGGACTGTCTCCTGGAGACCAGATGGTGACCTTGGCCTCTGACCCCGGCTCACCTCTCCCCTGTGGGCGGGCAGGACCTGGAGCTGTGGGTCAGTCACCTCAGGTAGGCGGTGAGGACAGCCCTGCGGCGTGTGGCCAGGGAGGCGACTCGGTCCTGGTGCCCTCCCGGCCGCTGAGCCGGGGCAGGGAGCAGCTCTGCACAGCGGGGCCTGCTCCTGGGGGGCTCCCGGGGCCAGCCCCGCCTCCTCCCGCCCGCGGGTGTCTGCGTGTCCCCGCCGCCAGCTCGCGGGGCAGCGGCAGCGTCTCAGGCTCGTGCCCCCGCAGACGCGCGTGTCCGGGGCTGGCTGCTGCTGGACTCCTACCTGCCCACCTTCTCCCTGACCGTCCTCTACCTGCTGTCCATCTGGCTGGGCACCAAGTACATGAAGCACAGGCCCGCGCTGTCCCTCAGGGGCGCCCTGACCGTGTACAACCTGGGCGTCACGCTGCTGTCCGCCTACATGCTGGCCGAGGTGGGTGCTGGGTGCGCGGCCAGGGCGGGGCCGGGTTTGCTGAGAGGGCGGCGGGTCGGGGCGCCTCCCTCTCGGCTGCTCTGCAGCTGCCCTGGGCGACGGGGGGGACAGCGGGGGCGGCCCCGGGATGCCCCGGCAGGCAGTGGAGGCGAACAGGCCGGCAGCACCCCAAGCCTTCCCTCCACCCCGGGGTCTGGGTGACGCCGCTGCAGGGGCCCCGGGACCAGCGCTGGGCGAGGTGGACGGAACCAGGAGTCCCTGGCGGGGCCCCGCCGCAGCGCCAACCAGGCGGCCATACTCAAGGCACCAGCTTGGAAGGACACCTTCGGGCCTGCACAAACACGGGGTCGGGGGGCCTGGGGGCGACGCTCTTGACACCGGGTGCCCTGACCGCAGCGGGGCTGGGCGTGCTGAGGCTGCACATCTAGACCCCGACTGCGCCCCCCACCAGGGGCCGGGGTGACTGCTGGCCACAGCGCCTGCGGCGGGGGTGGGGGTGTCCTCCCGGGATGGGGGCAGGGTGTGTGCAGAGGCGTGAGGAGCAGCATGGGGGGCGCCCACGGGGGAACGCGGCGCCCAGCCTGCGGCGGGGCTGGACGCTTGGATGCAGCAGGAGGCCCCCTGGCCGGGAGGTGACCGTGTGCACGTTGGGAGCCAAGACCCCGTGGGGCCCTGCTTGCTGTCGCTGAAGCGCCCTCGATGGCCCTGGGCAGCCCACCCCTGCTGCTGCCCTCCCCTGCTCCAGCCCGGGCGCCGAGGAGCCTGCCCACGCGCGCTGGCGGGTCTCGCTCCAGCCTCGTAGGAACTGTGGGAAACTGCACGGAGACTCCATTTTCCTCCAGAGCCTGACTTCTCTCCCTCTGGCCCGGGCAGCTCATCCTGTCCAGCTGGGAGGGTGGCTACAACCTCCAGTGCCAGGACCTGGCCAGCGCAGGGGACGCCGACATCCGGGTGAGTGGGGCCTGCCCTGGGAAGGCTGCCCGGGACCCTGCAGGAGAGGGCAGAGGCCCAGCCCTGTGACCCCAGGCTGCCACTTGATTTTGGAATTAAGTGTTTCCCATAGTTACAAAACCAAATTTAAAAAAGAGGAAGGTAACTGCGCCCCAAATCAGGGACTGTGCCACATATGAAGCTGGTGACATGACCACCCCGTCTCTCATCTCAAGTGATGGGACCAGCCTCTGCCCACAGCCCTGGGAGCCCCGGGGTTGCCGACCACAGGCCCTCCGAGGCGCATGACGGAGCAAGGAGGATCTAGAAACTAGGTCTCACGGGAAGCGTGGGAACACATTCTTTGTAAAATCCAGCTCCTGCTTTAGCTCTCCGCCCTGGGCGCCCTGAGCTCCAGGGCCGGGAGCTGGGGCTCTCGAAGTGGAGCCGGGGCATGGAGCAGAAGCAGCCCCGGCATCCGTCAGGCGAGGCACCTGGAGAAGCAGCAGCTGCGCTGTGTGTGAGAGGTGACAGACCTACAGGAAGCACGAACTCAGAATACTGACAGATGTCAGTGTTGCTTTTTCTTTTAAGATTTGTTTTTGTGTAGAACTGGGGTACAGGCCAGAGGTGTGGGGGTGAGAGGACTCAACAGAGACAGAGTAGGGAGCAAAACAGGTGGATATACAGAAATCCACTGCTGAGGGGAGCAGCGGGGAGACAGGGGAGGTCTGTTGTGCCCTGTGGTAGCTCCCTGGCCGGGGATGGAGCTCAGGCCACAGCGGTGACAGCCTGAGCCTGACCCCTGGGCCACCAGGGAGGCCTGTCGGTGTTACCTTTTGAGGGTGAAACATGAGCTCATTCTAGAAAGATTTAGAGTGACGCCTTTACCTGTGGTGGGTGAATTTTCACACAGCCTGGGACTGCAGCAGAGGAAACTGCGCACTGACAAATAGAAACTCCCCTTAAACGCTGCGCACCTGCGGGGCCTGGAACAGGGGTCTTGTGCCTAAGCTGGCCTGGTCACCGGGTGCACAGCCTGAGTGCCAGGGGCTCGGGGCGGGGCCCGCTGCCAGGCCTCGTCCAGCCACAGCCCTGTGCATCAGCGACAGAGGTGGGAGGAGCGTCACACGGGCCTGCTGCGGTGCACAGCCTGGGGCTGGATGGGGCTGCGGGAGCAGGGGCTGTGGGACCAGGCCGTGCTGTGCCCCCACGCGCACAGGTCCCTGGGAGACATTCGGGTGACTGTCCGCAAACTGGGCTTTGGGAAGACGACAGGCCTTGTGACTCTTGTGCTCAAACCAAGATAACGCACCCAACCAGGTGTTTCCAGATGAAAGTGATGCCTTGTGTTTTTTATAATTTCACACTCCTTCCCCCCAAAAGTGATGGGGACTAGAGTCGATTCGGCAGGAGGGCACCCCTGAACTGGGCAGGCCCAGTGGCCGCGGCCCAGGGCTCGCACCCCTGCTGCTGCTGCGGGGCTGAGCCGTCACTTCGAGGGCTGAGCCTGGTCATTACGGCACAGACCTCGTCCTTGAGATCTCAGGGCTCACCTCTTTAGCAGAGCGTCCAGGGTGCACCACGGAGGGTGTGCAAGACGGCTCTCGCGTTCTTTCCGGCCCGCCCAGCCCTGCTTGGCTCAGCCGCTGGGCATGTACATGGTCCAGTAGCTCTGGCCATGCCCTCCCGCACAGAGGTGCCCCCACCTGCAGCTGTCCACGCCGTTTGGCCGGCCCCCGGGAAGGGGAGGGCGAGCGTGATGCTCTCCCCACCCAGCTGCTGCCCCTTGGCATCTCCTGGGGCTCTCCCATGCCGGGCACTCGGGGCGGCGGAGGGGGCCAGGCGGTGCAGGCTGCTGGGCGGGGCGGCGTGTGGGGGGGCTCAGCACTCACCCTGTGCGCCGGCAGGTGGCCAAAGTGCTGTGGTGGTACTACTTCTCCAAGTCCATCGAGTTCCTGGACACCATCTTCTTCGTGCTGCGCAAAAAAACCAGCCAGATCACCTTCCTGCATGTCTACCACCACGCCTCCATGTTCAACATCTGGTGGTGCGTCCTCAACTGGATCCCGTGCGGGCAGAGTGAGTCCACCGGGGGGCCAGGTGGGGGCTGCGGGGGATGCGGGGGTGGGACAACCTCCCGACAGTGAGCGCCTGCGCCCCACAGGCTTCTTCGGGCCCACGCTGAACAGCTTCATCCACATCCTGATGTACTCCTACTACGGGCTGTCCGTGTTCCCGTCCATGCACAAGTACCTCTGGTGGAAGAAGTACCTCACGCAGGCCCAGCTGGTGCGTGCCGCGCCCCTCCTCCACACCCCCCATCCCCGCCGTCCCCCAGGTCTGGCGCTGAGGCTGACCCGGGCCCCACAATAGCCCTTAACTGCCAGGGGCCGCAGTGACCGTGTCCCTGCGCCGCAGTCCTCGCCCCTGCGCGGTTGCAGCCGAGAAGCGCCCGGGAGCGCAGCGGGCGTCACGGGACTGGCGGCCGTCACGTGACCCTCCCGGGCGCGTGGGCCTCACTGGGCGGCCTTCCAGGTGCAGTTCCTGCTGACCATCACCCACACGCTGAGCGCCGTGGTGCGGCCCTGCGGCTTCCCCCACGGCTGCCTGCTCTTCCAGTCGTCCTACATGCTCACCCTGGTCGTCCTGTTCCTCAATTTCTATGTCCAGGTGAGTGGGGCGTCCAGACAGGCCGCTGGCCGCGCCGGGCAGGCGTGAGGGTGAGACCCCCGCAGCCAGGACGCGACGGGCGGGGGCCCTCCGCCCCCACCCCATGGAGACAGGCTGGGAGCCGCCTCTCACCCCATGCCCCCCACCCGCCAGTGCCCACAGACGCCCAGTCTGTGCTGTGTCCACACCCTGGGGAGGTGGGACGTCTGGGCCCACCGGCCATGCAGCCGCGTGCTCGCTGCTGACGTTCCGCCACACCCCGGCTGACCAGATGGCAGCTTCGCTCCAGCGAGAACCCCAAGAGTCAGGCGTGTGCGGCCGCGTGTGGCGGGAGGGGGATAGCATCCAAAGGGAGGGGGCACGTGGACTCCCAGTGGCTGCACCCTGAGGGTCGCCAGATGGGCAAAGTGAGGGGAAGCCCAACGGCTGGGGAGCACCCCCACCAGAGCCTCTCGCCAAAGCCCCCCACCAGAGCCCCACCAGAGCCCCACCAGAGCCCCTGTCAGCGTGCCAGGCAGGCAGCGGGCATGGCAGAGGCGGCCGGCAGGTCCCCAGCAGCCCCGGGCTGAGTGCGGGTTTCTGGGTGTGCATCGGCTGAACCGCTCGTCCGACTTGTTTACCAAGTTGGCCACGCGGGGCGGGAGGGTGGAGGCAGGAGACTCGACGGGGAGGGCGTGACTGTGGTGTCTGGCCAGACTCAGGCCGGGGGGATGCGCCGGCAGGGGAGGGAGGAGGCGGCGACAGAACGTCTGGCCCCTTGGTCTTTGCCCGCGTGGAGCGGGAAGGGGGAAGCGGCCTGTGGGCAGCTCGGGCGCCGGCGCCATCTCACTAAAGAGCCCTCCCCCCACCCCACCTCAGACGTACCGGAAGACGCCGGCGGGGAGAGGTGCGGGCGAGCCCCCCGCGGGCAAGGAGGCCACGAACGGCTTCGCCAGGGCCCCCGGCGCGGCGGCCAACGGCGTGGCGGACAAGAAGGCCCAGTGAGCGCGGCGGGACGGCCGGCCCAGCCCCGGCGCCCGGGCGGGAGGACGGTCGGTCTCGTCGCAGCGCCAGCTCGTTTCCCTCGCGTCCCGAATCACTCGCCCTGGAAGGCACTAGGCGCCTGCCGCGGGGCCCCGTCAGCCAGGCCGTGCCCGCCACGGCGCCCGCCGCCCCTCCCCGCAGCGGCGCCCGCCGGCCGCGCCGGGCCCGTCCCAATAAAGTTAGTTCTGTTCAGGTTGTCAAGTTTGAAACAGAGAGTCAGCGTCTTCCCGGGCGACGCCCAGCGTGAGGCCCTCGGCCCCGCTTGGCCCCGCTCGCCCGAGGTGACGAGAAAGCCCCGCGGCCGCCGTCTCACCTGCCCGCGCGTCCCGCCCAGGGCCAGGCAGGAAATATCATTTTCATGTTTTTACTTCGAGGAATAATTTTCTAAGAATAAAAGACCTGCCAATCCTCACGCCCGGGCCTGGAGAGTCGCGCTCCGCCTCCCTCCGGCCGCCCTGATGGCCGCGGCCCGCGCAGGCCACGCAGGACGGACATGCCGCCTCCTTCTGGGCGAGGAGCCCCGGCTGCCCCTCCGGGCGCAGCTGCCGGCTCGGCCTGTGGTTCCAGAACTGACGTCTGCGGTTGAGACCAGGGAGACGCGGCCGAGCCCAGCACTGGCGGCGGGGACGCTGCCCTCGGGCGGCGCGGGCAGGGACTCCCGGGGCGCGGGCGCTGCCCACACTCGGCCGCACCGGAGTGGAGCGGGGCGGCCTCTGAAGTCGCTCCTGGGCTGTTGTTAACGCGCCGGCCTGGCCGTCCCTGCTCCGCCCTGTCCTGAGTCCAGTTTTAAACCCCCCGGAGCAAGACGCTGGCTTTCGTGCCGACTTTTCTCGCTTCTGTTTCAAGTGAGCCACGCTCCGGGGCCTGCTGCCCGCCGGGCAGAGAGGCCTGAGGCTCCCCGCCTGCCCGGCCTGCCCAGGGTCACCTCCTGCCCCTCTCTCTCTCCGGGTGCTAGTCCTCCCCTGGACACTTGCTGAGGCATGGGCCCCCGAGGGCCCCTTATGCCCCTGGAGGACAAAGTCCCAGCGGCCACAGGCCCTGGCGCTGTCCTCAGGCAGGGAGCAGACAGGCCTGCGCTGTCGGGCGCCGGCCACCCTCTCCCCGGGGCCTCCTGGCTGCACTGCGGCGGTCACCTCAGCCCCAGCAGACCACACCTGCCCTGTCAGGGGCCCAGTGGGGGCCCCTCAGTGCACAGGGCAGCCCCTTCAGGCTCGGCGTGTCCAACAGGCCCTCGGAGCAGCTGCGCAGTCCCAGCCTCCGGCCCCAGCAGGCCTGTGTGCGGCCCTGCCCTGGAGTGTCGCAGCCGTAAAAACAGATGTAAAGAGAAAAACCAAAAATGCTTGTCCCAGGTATTCGTGTCTTCCCGCGGGGCGAGACCGTGAGCAATAATCCCCTCGATTAAAACCACTAACAGTGCTGCTCGTGGCGCTCCTCACAGAGCCTGGCCCGGGCCGCCGGCAGCAGGAGGCCCCTCGCTCCTCGCGGAGGCGCTTTCTGGGGGAGCAGCACCTGGGGGACCCCGGCTTCACCTCGGGGTTCTGGGCTGTTGGACACAGGATGCTGCTCCTCAGCGCACGGCGTCAGGGTCGGGGGGAGGGAGGCAGGGGAGCCCACTTTTTTCTGGAGATAGAAAGCATTCTGTGTGATTACTGTGTAATAAATTGATTTTTACACTGAGGTAAAGCATGTTGCAGCGTCTTACTTAGGTTAAAAACACAAACCGGCCTGCCGCGTGTTCCTGGTGGCCCCCTCGCTGGGCGGGAGCGCCAGGAGCAGCCTTCCGGGGGGGACCCCAGCACCCTGGCCGGGCTGCATTTCCACGCTGGCTCAGGCTCCCTGGCCTGAGCAGACTCGGGAATGACCGTCCCCACGTGGTGCGGAGAAGTGGTGAGACAAGTGCTGAGAACCCCTGGGCTGCCTGGGAGGGCACTGGGCTGGCTGGCTTGGCCCAGATTCTCCAGACAGGGCAGGAGGGAGGGAGGGAGCACCATCCGGGGAACGCCGGGAGGCCGGACTCCTCCAGTGAGCGACACCGGGGCCATCTCCCCTTTGTGCGCTGGGGGTGCCGCTGCTCACCCCAGCAACCACACCTCAGAAACCGGGGCTGCCTCAGAAACCGGGGCTTCTTCATCACACTGATGAGTCTGTGGCCAGAGACCAGGAGACACAGGACGGGCGAAGCCCCAACAAGCCCTAGAAAGCTGATGCAGAACCCCTGAGGTCCAGGGGAGGGGCCCCGGCCTGGGGCGCGATGGGGGTGCTGGGAGGTGACGGCCTGGAGGGGGCTACCCCCGGACTCACACACCAATGTTGTCAACCAGTGCTACTGCTGTGCACATTTAAAGTGCTCTTATCCCCTGCAAAGCTTGCACCACGCTCCACAGAGCCCATCAGAAGATTCTAAAAGAAAAGACTGCAAAGTGGGGTGTAAGCTTTTGTGTCAGGCAGAGCGATCTAAAAAGAGGTATTTTACTTAAGTCACTATATTGGAGCTGGGGCCTCCCTGGTGGTGCAGGGGTTAAGTCTGGGCACTATGGGGCTGTCCCCAGGGAGCTACTCACAGAGGCAGCAGCAGCAGACCTCTCCGGACTCTCCCACCCTCCAGGGCTCATCTGGCCCCCCCCACTGCTCAGCCCAGCAGCCCCTGCTCCCCTTCAGGAGGGGAGGCCTCCTCTCGGGCGGCCTGGTGGCGGGCCCCACCATCTGAAAGTGCTTGTGGTTAGTCCCGGGTGGGCACTGGGCCCAACGCACCCACGTAGCACAGGCGGGCGGGAGCTGCATCCACCCAGGGCCGCCTGCTCCACCTGCAAACCCCAGCCCGGCGCGGAGTGTGACCAGACTGCGGAAGAACGACTTGAGGCGTGAAGAGCCTCTCGTGCCACCCGCCACCCCCCCACATTCCGGGGAGCAGTGAAGTGACCTCAGTCGCCGCCACCAGGATGTGTGAAGGGCGCTGACACTCCTCTCGCCTGTCCCCTGCCACCCTCCCTTCCTGGCGGGGTGCAGAGGGCATGCTGGTGGGTGGCAGCTTCTGGGACATGAGCCCACGGTCACATACAGGACAGGAGAGCGAGAAGCTCAAAGAACCCAGCGGGGGCCTCCTGGTCCCTGATTTCAGATAACAGCCAAGCGGCTGTGATGGGAGCAGTCCGGCTTCAGACTCCAGTGCCTACTGCATAGCTAGGAAGTGACACATTTGGCTTCTAATGACTTGATACTCTCCTTTGGAATTGTGAATATGCCAGTTTTTAGAAGCAGCACCAGAGTATGAAATGCCAGTTGTAAACTTCAAGGTCAGACAAGGAAATGAAAAAGAATTTTGCTGTTAAATTAGGAAAGATAGGGCCTCCCTGGTGGCACAAGGGGTTAAGCTCAGCACCGTGAAGCTGTCCGCAGCCTCTGCAGCACAAGTTCGATCCTCGGCCAAGGAGCTACCCACACGGCACAGAAAACCTCTCCTGTCTCCCCGCTGCTCCCCTCAGCAGTGGGTTTCAGTGGATCTGCCTGTTCTGCTCCCCACTGTCTCTAGGGAGTCCTCTGGCCTGTGCCCCAGCTCTTGTGTGCATACATAAATAAATCTTTTTTTAAAAATAAAATTAGGTAAGATTAGGTAAGAGAAGGGTCAGCACGCAAATTGTTCACTCTGTGCAATGTAGTAAAATGAACAAACTAGGCACAGATGTCTACTTAGATTGTTTTCTATTCGAGAAAAAAGTAAACAGTAAAACGAAAGAGAAAAAGGCAGAGTGAGGACATGACGGAGAGAAAAGGATAGTCTAAAAGTGGGAAGAACTAAATATCAGATCAAAAAAATGCCACAGAGGAATGATGAACCTTGCGGGCAAAAGTCCTTCACTGGAGGAAAGAATCCAGGTACATCACCTCCTGGGGGAGCTTCAACACAACAGCACTGCGGGTGTCTGAACCTCACCTGGGGGCCCACCCCCCAGGCAGAGCCCTAGGGACTCAGGAACGAGTCCAGGTAGCGGCACTGGGCACCACGGACCCTTCCTACCCAGGTGGTGTGTTCTGTCCCTTCTGGATTTAGTTTCTCTTCTGACAAACTACTTGCAGCAGCAGCTCACAGCATGGCTGGGATTTCCCTCCCCCACATTCTCGCCCGCAGTGGCCCCTGGGAAGCACCTTACCAGGAGTATCTTAGAGGGGCTGGAGGGGAATGGAAGGTGAACTTGCTTCCAGCAACCCCTACAGCCCTCACCTGGCCTCTGCAGGCTGCAGGGTAAGCTGTGGGGCCCCCTGCTGCCCAAGGCCAGAGCCGGTGCTGGTCTCTGGCCTGAGCCTCAGGGGAAAACCCCTGCCTGCACTGCCTGCTGAGTTGAGCTGCTTGGTCTGAGGGGAGGTCTGCTGCACCTGTGGGGCCGCTCCCTGGCTGGGGCTTGACCCCGTGCTACAGTGGCTGAGGAGAGCCTCACACTGCTGGAGTTAACCCCTTGCGCCACCAGGGAGGCCCTGTTCATCCACCTCCTGGTGACCCTCCAGTCTTGTGATCTCCTGCCCTAGCCCTACTAACAGGCGCTTTCTCTTCTGGAAATGTGGATTACATTTAAAATTAGTTTGAAATCAACAGAGTTTTGGGATAATGACCAAAGGGAAGGAAGTGGGGAAACAACAGAAGTCAGTCTCAGCCTCTGAGAACAGTAAGGTGGTTCCCGGAGGAGCAGGGGAGTGGGGAGAGAGGCAGAGGGCACTGCCACCGGCCCTGGGGGCGGGTGAGCAGTGTCGTCGGGTGTGAGGCTGAAATGCCCCAGTTCTTTAAACGAACGGTAAATCACAATTTGATTAAATAATAGAACACACTTTGAAAAAAAACCATCGAGGATGTAAAAAATACACTTCCAAGGAAGCTTTGGATCCAAGAAGAAAATATAGAAAAGATTTTAAGGGCCTCGCTGGTGGCCCAAGGGGTTGAGCACAACACTATGAAGCTGTCCCCAGCCTCTGCAGCACGAGCTCGATCCCCGGCCAGGGAGCTACCCACATGGCGCAGCAGACCTCTCCTGACTCGCCTGCTGCTCCCCTCAGCAGTGGATTTCAGTGCATCTGCCTGTTCTGCTCCCCACTCTGTCTCTGGGGAGTCCTCTCACCCCCCACACCTCTGGCCTGTTCCCCAGTTCTTGTATGCATAAAATGAAATAAATCTTTAAAAAACAAAGCAAAACCAGGCAGCAGAACATGGACCACAGATTCGGAGCGTAAGCGAGGCACGCGCATTACAGAGAAGAGCAGGAAAACCTTTATTCTGACCAATTCAAAAGACTCAAAGGGCAACCCGCAGGCTCATGCCCTGCAGGGGCAGAACCGGCTGTGTGGGTCCCTCCTCTAGAGCCGCACGGCCCGGAGGGTCCAGCGACGGCCAGGCCAGGCCGCTCGCACACCCCTGGCTTCCGGAGAAGAAGCGCCGCTGCTCTCAGCAGAAGGCGATCGCAGACGGCAAAGCAAACTAACACCATGTCCTCCGTCTTCTCCCACGAGGACGCTCAAGACAAGACCGGTCAGGCCTCCCGAGTTTCTTCAACAGATAAAGGAGACCTCGTTTGCTCAAACCACCTGGCCCAGGTCTGCCTTTCTGCAGCACCAGGGGCTCGCGTACCTGCGCCTGGGGGGAGCCCTCGGGCGTCGGGAGGGGGCACCTCAAGAGGACCTGCAGCTGCGGCCTTGTCTGGTCTCGAGGAATCCATCTGGGGGGTGTCAGAGGTTCAGCCTGAAGCCGGGGTCTCCCCAGGTGTCAGCACCCTAACTGCTCCCGGAAGACCGCGGGCCCCGTCCCCAGCGCCCCTTCTAAAGTGTGAGTGTTGGGCACGGCCCGCTTGACCACGGACCCGGCATCCACAGCTCCGGGGTCGGAGGGCAGGATGCACAGGGTCGGGGGTCCCCAGGGGCCTGCCCCGGGGCCCAGCCGTGCCCGTTCTACAGGAAACACTGGGGTAGGCCCAAGCCATCCAGCCTCTGAGGCCCCTCAGCCCCGCGCCCAGCAGGGGGTGGCAGCCAGCGGTTCTCACAAGTGATTACGAGGACACCCCCTTCCTGCCGGGACTGAGACCACGGAAAGCCCTTGCCCTGCAGGGCCCGGACTGTTCACCCTCGCGCGCGCCACAGAATGGCCCCCGGACCCGGTGCCTGAGGAGCAGTGAGGGGTGGACCCCGGGGACCCCTGGCTGGGAAGCTCCACAGGCTTGGGGGCTCCGAGCTGCTGTATAAGGCTGAGCCGGCTCCGCGGCTCTCTGCGGGCCGGCCTCCCGCTCAGCGGGCCGAGGGTCTCAGGGTCTTCCTCGGCTGCTCCTCGCCCTGCCCCCTGGAACCTTCTAACACAGGCCCAAAGCCAGCCTGAGGACCTGCACCCAGCAGGGGGGACCCCGCTGCGATTCGTGGGGGAGACACTGGGGTTCAAGACAAAGCTGGCCCAGGGCATCTACTGCGCTGGGAGAGCTGGGGGGTGTCGCGTGAGCCTGGAGGCGGGGCAGCTCTGGGAGCAGCAGGAGGGGGACCCCGGAGCCCTCAGGGAAGCCGAAACCAGGCGTTTCTCTTGGAGCGAGAATCCAGAGTCCCAGGGGCCTGGCTGGCTGGGCCCGGCCCTGCTCCCCGCACCAGCACCGGGCGCCGCCCGCTCCGAACCCTCCCGCCCTGCACGGCCTGGGCGCCCGGGCCCTCCGCGGCCGCCTCGCCCATCCACGGTCTGTGACCACCGCTCGCCCCAAGGACGCCCTCAGCCGGCGCCTCGGCCCGGGCCGGGAAGTGCTACTTACGGGCTCCTCCTCGGCGGCCCTGCATCTCGGCGGGGACAGCGGCGGCAGGACTGGAAGGAAGGACGAGCCTCTGCTTCCCCGGCCGCGGCCCCAGCCCGCCCAGCTGGTCTCTGCCTTTTCACCCAATCACGGTTGATCGCGGCAGCCTGGCGGCCCCCAGGGCAGCTCCCCAGGCCCCCCCACCGTCCGCGGCCCCTCGCAGGCCGTCCCGAGGGCTTGGCGGGGTTCCGCTGTGCCGTGCCGGGGCTCTGCCTGCTTCTATCCCACACACAGGACCCACCTGGCCGCGCCCAGCGCCCTCCCCCGGCCCCCCAGGTGCGCCTCGCTCCCCGCCTCACAGCAGGAGTCTCTGCCCCAGATGCCCCCAATGCTGCCCTCAGGGCCGGTCCTGCTCCCGGCTGGGCCGCACACTCCTCCCCGCTCCCTGAATCCCACAGGGGCCGTGCAGGCCCTGCCCCACAGGAGGGTCCCCCTTCCCGCCCGTCGGGGGGGGGCTCAGCCACGCTCCTCCGCTCTGAGCAGTACCCACTCCCACTAAACAGGCGCAGGCCGTGGTCCTCCCCAGTCACGGAGCCGTGACCCCCCATGGACCCCAAATCCCGCCAGACTCACCTCGCAGTCGGCCCTGGGCGGCCTTTCGCTTGGGTGGGTAGGTTTTGAGGGGTTTTCTCTGGGGGCCACTGAGCCAAGATGGTTCACTGGATCCCAGACTGGGGTCTCGACTGCTCTCCCAGAAGAGGCGCTTCCTGTAATCAGACTTCCACACCCGGTGGCGGCGCGTCAGGGCGTTGGAGGAGACCTGCGGCTCCCGGCTGTGTGGACTGGGCAGGGACGCGGGCCCCGGGGCTGAATGGACGCGCCTCGGGAACACCTGGGGATGCACAGGCCACACCGCCCACCGAGAGCCTGCCCAGCCGCAGGCCCCACCCTGCCGACTGTGCAGAGCCGGGGCCCCTGCCGGCCGGCACACCTGAGCGCACCCGCGAGCCCGCCCGTGCACTAAGGCCTGCTCTGCATCCGGAGCTGTTTCCTAAGTGCTGCGGCAGGGGCCTCCCTGGGGCGCAGGGTTAAGTCTCAGCACTATGGAGCTGTCTGCAGCCACTGCAGCACGAGTTCCATCCCCGGCCAGGGAGCGACCCACAGGGCGCAGCAGACTCTCCCGTCTCCCCGCTGCTCCCCTCAGGAGTGGATTTCAGTGGATCCGCCTGTTCTGCTCCCCACTCTGCCTCTGGGGAATCCTCTCACCCCCCCCCCACACTTCTGGCCTGTACCCCGGTTCTTGTATGCATAAACAAATAAATCTTAAAAAAAAAAAAAATACCGGAGGGTCTTACTCATAGCAGGAATCTAGAAAACCTAAATAAGGGACCAGGAAGAAGAATAACTATAAGAAAGAAAAAATCAAATCAACAAACAACTATGAACCAGAGACACACTATGGGGGGGGGCAGGGAAAGGAGGGATTGGGGTTAAAATAAGGGGGTTACAATTGTATGGGGAATATAAAAATAAATTTAAAAAAATAAATATGAAATAATCACAAATATGTTATAGGGACAACGATAAAAAAATTAATAAAATTGAGCAAAGACTTAAAAAAAAAAAGAGCCGTGACAATTAGATATTTGTGCTGGATTTTAACACGGAGTGGTCGTGATGTTAGGCTCCAGGGTCCTCCTCCCAATGGGGCAATGACCCCTCGCAGCCAGGGGGGCTCCCCGATCCAGACACACCGAGTGGGCAGCACCTCGGTCTCTCCAACAGAAATCTGTCAGCCCAGCAGTGGGCACAGCCCGCTGGAGTGGGGCAGAATGGCCCACCTGCTCCCCATACGACCCCCCCTTTCTGACGAGGACGGGGAGCCGGCTGTCTGACAAACGGATCGTCTTTGAGAGCCGATGTCCCTGGTTCCACATTTTGCAGAGATGCCATCTTCTAAAGGGAATTAGCGAGGCAGCACTCTATGCATCTTACACTTGTGGGGGTAGGTGGGGAACCCCCCTTCAGCCCAGCGTCTTGGCCAGAGCAAGCACCATGTCCTTCAACGCACCTGGTAAAAAGCCGCACCGCGGGGCTCTCTCAGCCGTTTGACATGGGAGGGCGCTGGCAGCCCCTCACAAAGCCCGAAGCACCCGGCGGGAAGCCTGCACCTACGGTCCCAGGAGGGGTCCCCCTGCCCTGGCAGTGCCCCTGCCCGGGCCATGTCTGGTGAGGGCACCCAGGCCTCGGCGTTCTGGGCAGCGCTGGCGTCAGGAGTGAGAGCAGGGCCCACGCGCAGGAGGCGCCTGCCTGGGGCGCTTGACCCGTGCTGTCCAGAAAGACCACCGCTGAGCGGCCGCGGCATTTTGTTCACGCATTGACCACAGGCCAGAGGCCAGAGGTCACTGGAGGGGAGAGCAGGGGCCTTCTCGAGCCATCAGCACTTCGACCCCCTCGGCCTGTCTCAGGGGCGAGCGCCTGTCCGCCCACCTCCTGGAGCCTGAGGAGGCGCGAGGCTCCAGGGGGACGCAGGCGCCGGGCTGACACCCGATTTTCTGCGCCTTCCTTGGGGCCCACCTACTGCTCGCCGGCACTCATGCTGATGTTCCGTCTGAACAGGAAGTCAGTCCCTTCAAAATAAGCTCGGGTAATAAACTGCAGAAAGGAAGGGCAGACAGAGACCAGCATCTGGAGATGGGGTGCAAATAACTAAAACTTGGGAAGTCATGCCCCAGATAACACAAGTCATCGGTTACCGACATCCACGCCTCGGGCGTCCTGTCATCTGTGAACGCAGGGTCGGCCCTGAAACAGACAGGTTCTGTGAAGAGATGTGGCAGGACGCGGAACCACCGCACCCCCCTCCCCTGGGGCCTGCCCTTCTGTCTTCGGGTGCCTGGTCTGACGAGGGCCACAGGAGGGGCAGTCTCCGGGCCTGGACAGACGCTCCCACTCCAGGATTCTCTGCTGGACACTGCTCCTTTTTCTTTTTCAAAAGATTTATTTATTTATGCATACAAGAGCTGGGGTGCAGGCCAGAGGTGCAGGGGGTGAGAGAATCCACCAAAGACAGAGCAGGGAACATAACAGGCGGATCTACTGAAACACACTGCTGAGGGGAGCAGCGGGGAGACAGGAGCGGTCTGCTGCACCCTGTGGGTAGCTCCCTGGCCAGGGATGGAACTCCTGCAGCCGCTGAGGACAGTTTCACAGCCCTGAGACTTAACCCTTGTGCCCCCAGGGAGGCCCCTGTTATTGTTCTTTCTTTGGCCTATGGGTTACTTAGAAACATACTGTCTCCTTCCCAAATACTTGCAGAGTTTTCCTGTTCCCTTCTTTCTAATTGCAGTTGAATTTCCTTGTGAATAGCAGGAAAGAGATGCGCTGTGCTGTCCCCTGCCCCGCACACAAAGAAGAGCAAGGTGTGGCAGGCTCGGTGCCACAGCACAGCATGGAGCCGCCTTGGAATAAGCCTGGAAATCGGATAGTACCTGAGGTGACCAGGGTAGGATGGGGCACCAAAGTGGGGCGGGGTTCCCATGGATGGTGGAGAATGCTGGGTGCTCTGGGGCAGATGAAAGCATATTGAGGTCTATGTGAACCTATAACCCTCCATTACACATATTTTAATGAAAAGAAGGTCGCTAAATAGACTAACAAGAAAAATATACCTCATGGGCACTCAAGGGCGTAAGGGACTATGCCGGCACAGGGAGAGAACAACTTGGCAGAATGAAATCACACAGATACAGAAGATGGTGTTTCCCCACCAGACAGTGTTCACCGCTGATGTGAGAAACTCAGAGGTGGACGAAATCTCAGGAAGGCGAGTCACAGTGACACAAGAGAACTCAGAAAATCTGGAAGTAAAAGCACAGAAAAATGAATGAGGGGCCTCCCTGGTGGCACAAGGGGTTAAGATGTAACCTATGAAGCTGTCCACAGGAGTTTGATCCCTAGCCCAGCCAGGGAGCTACCCACATGGTGCAGCAGACCTCTCCTGTCTCCCAACTGCTCCCCTCAGCAGTGGATTTCAGTGGATCCGCCTGCTCTGCTTCCCACTCTGTCTCTCCTGAGTCCTCTCACCCCCTACATCTCTGGCCTGCACCCCAGCTCTTGTATGCATAAATAAATAAATCTTTAAAAAAAGAAGAAAAACAAATGAGCATAGAATAAAATTAATGACCACTAGAAAGCTTCAAATAAGAAAACAACAGATTCAGGGTATGAATAAATGAGATGAAGGGTTCTAGAAAGTTCCAGAAGCAGTACAGTCCACAAATGGAAGAGCCAATCAGTGACTTTCAAGATGGCAATGCACAAAGTATTCAGATGAAAGAAGACAGAAATAAGGCATTAAAAAAGCAGCACTGGGGCCTCCCTGGTGGTGCAGCGGGTTGAGCACAGCGCTGTGAAGCTGTCCACAGCATCTGCAGGATGGGTTTGATTCCCGGCCAGGGAGGTGACCCACATGGCACAGCAGACCTCTCCTGACTCTCCCGCTGCTCCCCTCAGCAGTGTATTTCATCAGCCTGTGCTGCACCTCCCCCTGCAGTGACCCTCAGGGCTCATGGCTGTTGCCATGGTCCCTGAGGTCTGGCGTGGGCAAGGAACCATGCGCGCAGGGGGAGAACAGCAAACTCCCTAAGATGCAGAGAAGCCAAATGCCTGCCAAGAGATAACAACTACCAGAAGCCGCCACAAAGATGGTTAAAAGAAATGCTGACCACCTGGAACCTTATCTCGCTTTCTCAAGGCCCACAAACTTTATTCTGCTACAACTGTCTTTCTAAAATCTTTCCTTTTTCTGGTCATTGATTGCTAATTAAAAAACATACGTAATTTAATAATTAGGCTAATGCAAATGAAACATTACTAAACACTGTGTTATAATAGAATTGTTGGTTTAATAATCTTTCTGTTATGTGCTTGACTTTAGTACCTTTGATATTAACTGCATTATAATATAAATTCACCCATGACAATTAATTATGAATAAACATGAGTAAGTAGTAGTAGTAGTAATTAGTACAACAAAAATATAAGAAAGAGTTAATAGCCTGTCTACTTAGGAATGCGGCTAGGTCCAGATGTATTTTGGACATAAATCACTGCCCTGTCAATGATAAGCTAAACCTATGAGCAAGCTGATTTCTTTGATGTTCACCGATCCTATGCCTTTAGAAAAAACATATATACTGGCCACTAACAAAAATAAAGCGCACTCAGATTTACACTCTCTCTTGAAGTGTGTCTGTTTGTCATTTCTTTAGCCGAATCCCTGACCACCCTGCGCAGTCTCTCAACCCTGAGACGGCCTCATCGTCTACTGCTGTGCTGGTCCGCGGCAAGCCTGCCTGTTCTGTTCCCTGCTCTATCTCTGCTGAATCCTCTCACTCTCCTGCACCTCTGGCCTGTACCTCAGTTGTTGTATGCATGAATAAATAAATCTAAAAAAAATTTAAAAAGAAGCACTGTGGGACAATGGTTGAAGGTCTTGGAGAATGTCTCGTGGTCTCTGGCACCACGACATGGACTGACAGGACAGACTGCCGAGTCTCAGATGTAGGACACCGGCGGGCGGGGGTATTGGCAGGGCCACAGACAGGAGCCAGGCTTCCCCATCAGGTTCAAACCAGCAGCTGGACCCCCCATCCCCTCCCCAGCCCACTAACACAGAAAACAACTCGCCCCTTGTCTGAAGCACCTAAGACACGGAGCAGTAACCAAAATCATAAATAAAACCATAGCACCATCTGCTGGAAAAGTAAAAGTGAAGAAATTCACAAAATTGCTGATCCAGAACAATTTTGACACAGGGATAATTTTAAGGAGGAAAATGGGCAGACAGGAACAGTCTAATGCGTGCAACTTGAGACATCAGGATGATACAGATCACTAGCAGAGAATGACGACTCTCCAGAAAGCAAACTTAAAGTCATCAAAGATGGTATCTCTCTATCAGATAGAGGACTCAAAACTGCAATCCTCAGCAAACTCGAGTTCAAGAAGTCAGACAGGCAATGCAGAGAGATAAGAGAACTCAGAAGCAAATCGGAGGGGTGGGGGGGAACTGGGAAAAGAAATTAGGAAAAATAACACGCCCAGTGAGCCCAGGATCAAACTAACAACAAGGCAGACGCTGAAGATTTAAATGAAACACAGATTCATATGTGAGGAGCTCAATACATGAGATTAAGAGAACTATGGAAAGAGATCTAAAGGGAGAAAGGAAGGGTCTCAACAGAATAAAGACACTAATTTTAACTAATAAACTAAATGACATAAAACTGAAAGCTTTTCACCTGCAAGATACAAGTGGTATCAAAATTGGGGAAGTTAAACGATCTCCTTGTGCAGATGAGGGATGGAGTACTACTCAGCCATGAAAAAGACGGACTTTTATTTGCAACAATATGGACAGAACTGGAGGGGCTAATGCCTGCTCAGGCAGAAGGAGAAAGACAAATCCGGGGTGATTTCACTCATCTGTGCACTAGAAAGACAGCCAAGGAACAGACCAAACGGGCCCCAGAAATCGGACAGAATCAAAGCCACCCCATGGGGACGGTGGGCATGAGATGAAAGGGTGATGGTGGCTAAGGTTGTTGCTGCTGTGGTGGTGGGTCTGGTGTGATAACACTCATTTGCACAGGTGTGAACCTGCACCCCTAAAGCGTATACTGTTGCATATGCTGCTGTACATCAATGTAGCCCCAAAAGCCAATTTTTTTTTTTTTAAATAGCAAAGAAATGAAATTTGAAAAGATGAAATGTTGCCTGAGGGGCTGCGGAGACAGTTACAGAAAGAAAATCCCTGGCTGGCTTCACTCACGCATGGGGTATAAAAAAAGCAAAACTCAAGGAAAGCAACATGCTGAGGAAAATGTAGCGGGGAACAGGGTCCCATGGAGGGTGGCAAAGGCACTAGAGGTTAGGGGGTGCTCTAGGGACCCTCAGGGACAGGGACAGGCTCAGGGCCACATAGGGACAGGCTGTGTCCCTGGAACTTGCGTGGGGTTGCCAGTCCCCCGTGAGCCAAGGAAACTATTACAGACTGAGACGCCTGTTTTTAAAGTGAAACATAACCCCCTCTGACTGGAGTGCCTGCAGCCTGATTGCTCCCTAAGAAAAGGGGGGGCGGTCCTTGCAGAGACACGCAGGCCCTGGTTGGAGAGGGCTGGTCTGGGGGGACAGACAGGCCTGGGTGGACTCGCAGAAACGCCTGCTGAGCCCCAGAGGCGAGGAGGCAGCTTGAGGGCGCTCCCTGGAGGATTTCAGGGGAGAGCCCATCCCTGCGCAGAGGAGGGGTGCAGTGGGGGGCGTGCAGGAAGAGGGGTGCAGTGGAGGGCCTGCAGGATGGGCGTCAGCGGGGCAGTGAGTCTGCCCTGTCTTGGCCTCAGGTTAAATGTGAGGTCACAGGTTTCCACCGCGTCACAGAGCTGGAGCCATCACTTGGGGGGGCCCATCCCTCACGGCCCTACATGGAAAGCGGCACAGACCAAGTGATGAGTTTTCTGGTGGGGTATGGGGTGCGGCTGCAGAGAGGATGCCCCTGGATGCCGCAGGAGGGGTCCGGAGACCCTCAGCCACTTCATGGCAGACACATGGGTGCTCCCTGCTTGGGGGCAACAGACACCGAACAGGGCCCGGGACCTGGCGCATCTACACTCACAGCCGTCTACACAGCGTGCTGGCTCTGAAACCACTTACCCAGAACTGTCCTCTAACCTGGGATCCGCTGGTTCTTGTGAATCTGAAGCTTCGCATTTTGAACTCGCTCCTAACGTGGAAATTACAATCAGGGTTGTCTCAAGGCCACAGAGACACCCCGGCTCTGCTGTGCCACCCCGCATCCTGACCTGGTGGGGTGGGTGGGCTCCTGGGGGGGTCGGGCAGACCAAGCGTGCAGGGGGCTTGCTGTGGAAGAGAAGGATGAGCTGTTATGCTCCTGCCCGCAGACCCCAGCGCCCGGCCCACGCACACAGGCGTCGCCTGCCCTTCCAGACACCCACATGACACCTGCTCTCACGCCAGGATTTTTAGTTGGAGCCATTCTTGCTGCCATGAGGTGGGACCTCATGGTGGTTTCTTTGTTTCTATAGATTTATTTATTCATGCACACGGGAGCTGGGGTGCAGGCCAGAGGTGTGGGGGGTGAGAGGATTCCCCAGAGACAGAGCAGGGAGCAGAGCAGGTGGACCCACTGAAACCCACTGCCGAGGGGAGCAGCGGGGAGACAGGAGAGGTCTGCTGCGCCATGTGGGTAGCTCCCTGGCCGGGGACGGAACTCGTGCTGCGGAGGCTGCGGTAGCGTCATCGTGCTGAGACTCTAACCCCTTGCACCACCAGGGAGGCCCCTCATGGTGGTTTCGATGTGCATTTCCTGATAAGTGATGTGGAACATTTTCCCACACACCTGCTGGCCCTCTGCATTTCCTCTTTGGAGAAGGGTCTCCAGTTCTGCTGCCATTTTTTTGCAGAAGGAAAAAGAAAAAAATTAGATGGTCTCCCTTGCAGGGAAACCAAAAAAGGGTCAGGAAAAGGACAAAACCTGCAAACAGTAGACTGAGGCATCCAGCAGGGGAGCGGGAGGGGCCAAAATGGGGGGGGGCAGCGGGGGAGCACCCGGGACTGTGGTGATGGTCATGGGTGCCGCGGTGGTGGGAGAACTCTGGGGACTGCACCTGAGAGGAGGAATCAAATATTGGGCAAAAATGAACCATGTAAGAAAATTTAAAAAAAAAATTTTAATTAAAAAAGAAAAAGGGGCCTCCTTGGTGACACAAGGGGTTAAGCAGGGCACTGTGGAGCCATCGGCAGCCTCTGCAGCACGAGTTCGATCCCTGGCCAGGGAGCTACCTACAGGGCGCGGCAGACCTCTCCTGTCGAGTCAGTCTGCCTGTTCTGCTCCCCACTCTGTCTCTGGTGAATCCTCTCACCCCCTGCATCTCTGGCCTGTACCCCAGCTCTTGTATGCATAAATAAATAAATCTTTTTTAAAAAAGAAAAAAGTCCAGCCCGTTCCTGCAGCAGCCGAGCGGCAAGTTCACCGGAGGCCGAGCTAGCCCAGCAAGGGGGTGTGTCGCTCTCACTCGCGCCCCCGTCTCGGGGTTTCTCGGGGCAGCATTTGGAATGAAGCACGGAAACAGGCCCTCGTCCCTCTCCTGGGATGCTGGATGGTCTGATGGATCAGACCGCAGCGTGGGTCCCCCGGGCCTCCGCGTGACCAGCATCCGCGGGTCGCTCAGTGGCCTCACAGACCGGCATGTGTCCCGCCAGGGAGGCTGAGTTCCGGTAGCTGAGTTTCATCCTCCCCACGAGAGTCTCATCTGTGGATAAACCCGACTTGGGCGAGGGTGCTGCATAGATCAGCACAAAGATCCCCTGAGGCACGGGTTCCTGCCTGCTGCTGGGGTCTGGATGGCTCTGTGTCCCGAGCCAACACCCCTGTGTCCCCATGGCCCCACCCTTGGGCCCCAGGCCTCTGCCCCTCCACCCCCAGGCCCCACCCTGGGCCCCAGCTTGCAGGGCGTGTGGAGGACCATGCCGCGCTCTAGCTTGAGATGTCCAAAAGTTAAACAGGCCCTCTCCCTGCTGGGGGCTTTACCCTGGCCGGCCCCCCTCAGGCCCCTTAGGCCTTCGCCTCCTCCACCTGGCCCATGTCCAGGAGCAGGAACCTGAAGGAAGCTGCTGCCCCCCACCGGTCCCCCCAGCATTCTCATCAGGGCGCCCACTCCTTTCCTTTTCCTGGCAGGGCCCCGTTTCTGGGGCTCTCTGCCTCCGAGGCCAGAATGTCCTGCCCACTGGGCTCTGCTCTGTGTCTGATAGGGGCAGCCGGGGAGGCCATCGGTGGAGGCTGAAGGGCCAGTGACAAGACGTGGCGGCCCCCGGGTCAGGGCGGCGAGCGCAAGGGCGGCTGGGCCCGGTGCGGCACCTGGAGAAGATCCAGGCTGCGCTGCGGCTAGAAGGACCCACACAGACGAGCTGGCGCTCGGGTAGCTGGTGCCCGGGCCGCGCCCCGCCCCTCCCGGGCTGCCTGCCCGGGCTGCCTGCCGCCCTCGGGGACAAAGGAAACAGGCTCTGAAATGTCTATTTCCAGGACACGCATTTCAATTTTTAAAAGTCATCACGGCTTACGCTGGTTTCTGAACAAAACTCTTGTGCTCTGCCCCACTTACAGGTGGAAATCGCATCTGAAAAAGCAGCAGGACAAGAACTTTGATTCAAAAGAACACCCGTACCCCTATGCTCGCTGCAGCGCTATTTATAATGGGCAAACCCTGGAAACAACCCAAATGCCAAAACCGGATGCTGGATCAAGAAGATGTGGCACACATACGCACGGGATATTACTCAGCCATCAAAAAAATAAATAAACCCATGCCACCCACAGCGACGTGGATGGAGCTAGAAGAATTATGCTCAGTGAAATAAGCCAGAAGGAAAAAGAAAAATATCGGATGGTCTCACTCATCGCAGGAATCTAGGGGGACCAAATAAGACATCAGTGTGAAAAAATAACAATTCGAAACACAAGAAAAAAATGGACAATTATAAACCAGAGACATCCAGCAGGGAGGAGGCGGGAGAGGGCTCAGAGGGAGGGAGGGAGGAGCACAGGGCCCTGGGGTGATGGTGCACGGGTGCCTTGGGGAAGGAAACTCCATGGGGCTCCACCTGAGGGGGGGGGAGGCAAATACTGTTTAAAAATGAATGATGGGGTAAAAAAAATACATAAATGAAAATTTTTAAAAAGCAGCAAACTCTCTCCGACTTTCTCCAGGCCAGCAAGGGGCAAGCCAAGCTCCGGTCACGGGCAGACGGGCACACTCGGCGGGGACCACGGTGACAGACCGCGGCCCTGGGGGAGGCGTGTCCAGGGATTGGAGCCCAGCGCCGAGTTGCGCCTTTCTGCCCCGACTGCAAGGCTTTCCCGCCACTCCAGGGCGTGCGCTGCGGCTTCCAGGCACCAGCACGCCCGGATGGACAGAAGCTCGCTGGGCCTCCCGCACACTTTCCTAAGAACTGAGGCGTCCGCACATCCAGACGCCTCCTCTACGGCCCAGACGCACCCATGCAAAACAGAAAACACAGTTTCCGAGGGTTTGGGGCGCGCAGCTCACTCTGCACACTGGATCCACCCTGCGCAGCCGGCTCAGACGCGGCTACCGGGCCTGGCAGGCAGGAGAACCAGGCGCTTCCGGGCTGGTTCGTTCCTTTCCACCAGCAGAATATTCAGTTCAAACGCTGCTGGGAGGGAGGGAGGGGAGGGGGGTGCAGACGAGAGCGCCCCAGCAGGTACCCAGACACCCCCTTTCTGGGGTATCCGAAGGCCCAGCGCCTGGACCTGGACCCGGGCCTGCAGCTCCTGTCGCTGCCAGTCTCCACCGCAGGGGAGGCCGGGCTGGGGCGAGGCCTGGAGCCGTGGACAGAGGTGGCAGTTGGCTTCCCAAACACCATTTTCCGGGTCCCCCTTCCCGGGCGCTTTATTAGCAACGGGCTGAGCTTGCATCCTGCCTCCTTATCTCGTGGAAAGTTCCCGATAAATTCCAAGAAACCCACAAAACCCAAGCTCTTAGGGAGCCCCCAGGAGTCGGCCCTGCGCCCCGGGTGATCGCCTGCGCTGGGGCTGGAACACACACGCGAGTTCCCGCCCAGAGTTGGGGGCTGCGCACCCCGGGAACGTGGCGGCCTAGCCCGGGCTCGCAGGGGGTCGGGGCTCCGGGGTTCACTCACCGCCTGCATCCCGAGGCTCCCGTGACGCCGGGTCCCGCTGCAGGCGCGTCCAGGGGCACAGCGCTGCCTTCACCCGCGCTCCTGCACCCGGGCTAGGAGCCCGCGCCCGAGTGTGCGAGCGCGCCCGATGCAGGCACGTGGGCCCCGCGCACACCCGAGGCCCTCAGGACACCCCCACTGCTGAGTCCTACGGCCCTTTGTGGGGCCCGCACTTGCTCCCGCCCCAACAGCATTCATGTGCGCAAACTGAGCTGTAGCTTTCCCGCGGGAGCCAGACGTGCGCCCCAAATGGCGAGTGAGTCCTGGGTACAAAGTGTGCGTGTGTTTTCTAATGCTTTGGTGTATTCAACCAAAATAAAATGGAGGTAGAGCAGGAATTTTGTGCAAGGCTGCCACGCGCTCCCCCCACCCCCAGCATTTCTGTAAAACAGCTGTGCACACTTCAGAACAAAGTGGCTCTCACCCTATTTGTTTGGTTCACGCCTTATTAATTTATCTCACAACAGGTGCCGCTCGCTGTAAGACTCCGGTTTTATCTCCCTGGGGGGTGGGCCGTGGGGCGGAGCTGGGGTCTGGTGGCTTTTGTTAAACAAACTGGCCAACTCTTAAAACCCCCACCTGTAAATTCCTGCCCCTTTTGTTAAGCAAAAGTTGTCCAAACACAGTCAGGATCCCGGGGAGCCCCGCCCGCCTCAGAGGGAGCCTCTCTAAGAACAGCTGCCTGGAGCCCCCAGGCCGAGGCCATTCTCCGGAGCCGCCTGCCTGCACTCTGCACCGTCTCCCACTCTCACCTGTCCTGACTCCCGCATTTAGTCTTTTCAAAAAAGATGGATTTATTTATGCACACAAGAACCGGGGTGCTGGCCAGAGGTGTGGGGGGTGATTCACCAGAGACAGACTGAAAAGCACAACAGGTAGATTGAGACTGAAAGCCACTGCTGAGGGGAGCAGCGGGGAGACAGGAGGGGTCTGCTGCGCCCTGTGGGTAGCTCCCTGGCCGGGCGGCGCTGAACCCACGCTGCAGAGGCTGCGGACAGCTTCACGGCGCCGACGGTTAACCCCTTTCGCCACCAGGGAGGCCCCTCCCGCATTTATTCTTTCCTGAACAGAAGTCACGAACCTCAGGGCCCCCAGCACCCCTGGTCTCATCAGAACGAAATTCAAATCACAATGATTAA